GAGGCTCTTCAGACTTTATATTTAGTTCAGAAGATCACATTGCAAGGTGGGACCTGGGCACAGATTTCAGTGAAGAGCTAGAGTGGCAAAGGGCCCCTGGGATTTCCTCACCCAGGAACTAAACCCCTCTGAGGGCAGATCAGACAGTTGGGAAGAGGAGTGTAGGGGGAGATGCCCATCCAAGTCTCTGGCTCTCTTAGGGGCTCCCTCCGTGCTGGCAGGCTCTGCCCACCCGTGCCTCAAGAGATGGCTTTCCATGGTGGACTCACCTTCCCCCTATCTTCTCTGCTTTGTTTTTCCACTCAGTGTTCCAGCTTTTATTCTGCAGTGAGTCTTGTTTTCTGAATGCCTCCATTAGCTTGATATTTTTCTCTGGTTCCCTGGAGCAGCCTCACCAGGACCTCCAACTTCAGTCCTCACTGCTCTGCACCTCTGGCCCGGGAGAGCCCCACCCATGAGAACAGGCTCCCAGACACCTGGCCCTGGCCCTGGCCCATCCTTGATCTTCCTTTTGCCTGGGAGACCAGACCTTCTTCACCAACCAGACCCACCCTCTACTAGGCAAGGAAAGCAAAGGATCTCCTCTCAGGGCCAGGAGCTCCCTGGCTCTCTGGTGTTTCTGGTAACAGATGCCCATGAGTTTTGGAATTTCTCTACAGTGTCCCATGGTATGCATTTGGTCTACCCTGGGATTCTGTTTACCAGGGCAGCATTCAGTTTCTCTGTTTCCCCTTCTGACTTCCATACCTTGTTAAGTTCCTGCTGAATTGAGCTAACTCTGTACATCTGATTAAATCTCAGACCGGGGCTCTGGAAATTACAAAACAGCCTCCTTGCCAGGTGGCTGACATGTAATGTATTGCTTTGTTTAGGTGGCCGTAAATTGGGAGACTTTTCCTTAAGTTTTTGCCTTTGATGGCAAGAGGTGGAGATGCCTGTGGTGGTTATTACAGGAAGATCTGGGAAGGCAAGTCACTGTTTTTATGGGAGTCACAGGCTTGGCAGAGACAGAAGCAGTGAGTAAAATGGGACCCCTGTGGTAGATGGAGGAAGATAAGAGAGGCCGGGCAAGGAAGTGTCACACCCTTTCCCAGCCTTCTAAAGAATGGAGCATGGAATTAAAAAACACTGAATCACAAAGTGAAAAAGCAACTTCCTTTCCAGCTTTCTCTCCCACTTGTGATTACTTTAAAGAGAAAATCTCTACTATGTCCTTAGTATCTCTCAAATGCCTGTAAGAGAAAACTGCCCTCAAACCTCAAACCAAGAGCCTTTTCACACATCACTACAATAACATTGTTTTATTTCTGGTGAATTTATTTTTGTGTTACTTTCGATTTATTGCAAGTGCTATTTTTCGGTTCCAACGGTGACGTGAAATTTCCTTTAAAATCAATATATTAGAATTTTTTTTAAAAACTCAATCTAAAGCAGAAAGTTAAACAAATTAAATGCAGGTGAGACTCAATTATGGCAAGAACAACAAAAAAGTGACTATGAGGGGAATGTCTGACATTTGGAAAAACACTGTCCTAAAAGGAGAAGGTACAGAGAGTATTCCAAGATCTGGAAGTTCTGGATTTAAAAATCATCCCGTTGCCAATTTCAGTCATTCATTCCCCATTAAGTACAATACTATTTTCAAAAAAATCTTTTCTTTGATTTTGCAGATTCCAGAAAGAAATTGGGAATTGAAGAGTTAAGAAGAAGATGTTGTTTTAAAATATTCTGACTTACTTCAGAGAATGATGCCAGAAACTTAAAAAGGTATTATTGACCACTAATTTAAATTTCATATTATCAACTTGTATGCCTTAAGGGAAGGAACTTTTAAAGCTGTGGATCCTAAAGTGGGTCACGGAATTGACCACAGTAGAAAAAGCTGAATCAGCATCTCATAGATCTGCACCCTTTTAGTAGAATAGTAGCCAATCATCCCTTTACGTTCTTTTTGGTGAGGATCTCTTGCCCCTCTGTTGCTTAGAATGTTAAATTGTACTGTTACTTGCTCGTTAATTGGGGTCCTAAAAGGAAAGTTATTGGGTGGGGTCTGCCAGAGAATCTCTGTTAAGCTTGCAGTGTTTAGCAATTTGATAGGTAAAACAGAAAAAAGGAAGTGTGTCAAAGAGGAGACTCACGTGTGACTTGGTAGAAAAAAATTTGAGAACGTAAATGTTAACTGATGTGGCTTGTGAAACATATTAATGATGTTGACAGTGTTAAAAGATTTGTGACAGTTTTTTTCTGAGCTCACCAAAACATTTTTTTAAACTATCTCTAAAATGCGTGGGTTTTCCTGCCTGGACAAAGCGGGCAGTTTAAGGCCTTTCCACAAACAAGATTATGATTCATTTTCTATAAGGATGACTGGAGAAGACATGGCTGAAGGACCTTGTGTGTTTTTTGTTGTTGTTGTTGTTACAAGAAAGCCAGTCAGTGCAATTTTGGGATAATTAAGATGAACTCAAGTTATTTTTTAACACCCAAATAAAATAGCCTGGGTCCCTGTTCCTACCCAGATAGGAAGTTCAGCAGGGGCACGAGGTTTGCAAGGATTCCTGGGGAGATGCGTCTCTTGGTCATCCAACACTGGGAACTCTGTGCCAACTCTCCCTTTTGCCTCCTGCACCTCTGCGCTGCCTCTGTCCCCCTTCATGCACACATGGCCACTGCTTCCCCTGCCTTCCCCAGGGGGCTTGTCTATAAGACACTTTGCTGAGGGTTTGGGGATTGCGGGTGTGGGGTGGGATACAGCACAACCTGGAATGGGAATATGATGGAGACACCGCTGTTCCCGGGTTCCTGGGCTCTGCCTACCACAGGAGACTTCATGCTGCTGTCTCTGTCCTCAGGCTGCTTTGTGCTCAGACCCGCTCTCCGCCATGCCCAACAGTTCCTCTGTTCCCAGTTCTGGGTCCACTCCCTGCTTAGGGGATGCAGAAACCTCCAATTGCAGTTCACCTTATTATACAAAATAATATGCTTCCCATCTCCATCCCAGTCTAGGAGCGAGGCACACTTTGCTTTTTAAAAGTAATAATAATGATTAAGAAAGTTGTGCTGACGAGTAGGGGTTGGCTACCTCTGGTCACCTGCTTTAGCAACATAAGCCACAGCAGATGCAATGAAATTATGATTTTTTCTTTAATGCAGCTCAGATAAAAGTCTTAAGCATGGCTCCCTCTGGCTGTAAGTAGAGAAACCCCAGGACCGATGGGGGGTTGGGGGAAATACTTCCATGGCTTTTGCCTTGTTGATGATGTCATTGATCTCTTCAGGGGCTGCACCGAGAGGCGGGGCCCTGGAGGGATGGCCCTAAATCCTGCTTGCCCTTCTGTGGGGAGGACACACGCAGCCGAAGATGAATTTGGGAAAAGTAGCCGCTTGCTACTTTAACTATGGAAAAGCAGGGCCACGGTGAGATGGAAATAATCCCGTCAGATTCTCACTCCTACATTAAGTTGTTGAAAATCAACCGGGAACTTCTGGTGACGCACATCCGTAACATTCAGTGTCTGGTGGACAACTTGCTGAAGAATGACTACTTCTCAGCCGAAGATGCGGAGATCGTGTGTGCCTGCCCCACCCAGCCCGACAAGGTGCCTCTGCGACAGGGATTGGCATTGGCAGCATGCAAACCCCGGTAGCCGGAAGAGGCTTCTTCCCATTGACCTGAGTGGAGGGTTTTAGGAATTTAGTGCACTGGGCAGAATTTCACGTTGGGGTCTCGATAGAACATAAATGCCCGAGTTATCAGCTTATTTCACAATCAAGTGTTTCACGTCTGCGTTTGTGTCTAGGGCAGAATCTTAAATCTGAGCTCTCGTTGCTACGTGTACTTGCGCCCAGACACCTCGTTTTCAAACGCACTTTAAATTGGTAGGAAGGAAAAGGAAATGAGCGTGCAGCACTGGCAGAGATGTTCATTGGTGTCTTTAAGCTCTGGAGGCTGCATTGCTGGGTGAGGCTCAGATGGGCAACGCCTCAGGTGCAGGAATGACCACCCCAAGGTGGGGGCACGATAAGGAATTCTCCATGCTCCACTGTGGGACGTCTTACCAGCCCTTAGTGTCACTTAAGCTTTGTGTCACCTTCTGAAAAATCGAATCAGGGCCCAAACTCCTTCATGGTTAGAGGGATAACAGAACCTCTTTGTGACATGACCCTGCTGGGCTCAGAAGGGACCAGAGAGGTTTCTGGGGGAAGCCTGTAGCACATGAGTGCACTTCAGTCTCCTCTCTTGATGTGTTTTCGTGCATTTTTAATAAAAAAAAAGCACCATTTGTAATGTATGACTTATGTGGGGTCCTGTCACCCTCTTGCTGTGTGGCACAGGTGCCCCTCATTGTGCCCAGAGCTGGCTTCTCCCTCTCCACACTCCCTCCAGGATAGCAATGGTGTTAGGTTAAGAGGGACAAGAGGACAGAGAATTCCATGGGTGGACATGACTCTAGTTAGTCTGACTTTGTTCTTCCCAGACTCACAGAAGCCTGGTTTCTTAGAGCTGTGTGGTTTTATTTCTCGCTAAGGAGGTCATGTCACATGTCACAGCTCACCCCGGCTGGGTGCATGGTCAAGTTACTGGCTGTAGTAAGCGCTCGGAGCCCTGCCCTGAGCCCACCTGGGGGTCTTTCTGGTAGGAGGATGCCCCTCACGTCATCTCACACCTCATGCTTGTGCCGCCACTAGGTCCGCAAAATTCTGGACCTGGTACAGAGCAAGGGCGAGGAAGTGTCCGAATTCTTCCTCCACGTGCTCCAGCAACTCACGGACGCTTACGTGGACCTCAGGCCTTGGCTGTCGGAGATCGGCTTCTCCCCGTCCCCGCTCATTCAGGGCAAAACTGTGCTCAACACCGACCCAGGTACGCGTCAGCCCCGGGAGGACGGCAGGTACCAGCGCGAGCCACGCCCGGGGGTCTCGACGTGCCGTGGCGGTTAGGCCCAGCGGGGCACGGCCGGCCCTGTGTGCCACCTCAGGAAGCGGGCCCAGGTGCTATACTGATTTTAGAAAGGAAGAGCTGGTCTCTGTCACCCAGGTGCAGCCCGGGTGACTGCGATCAGACTGACCACATGTGGCCACACACGTAAAGCAGACAAACCTGCTCTGGTTTATATAGGGGCCCATGGAAGTGTGAGAATGGCCTCTGTGCTGACCTCTCGCTTCCTTCCTATTCTGACACATGTAGATATTTCAATGGTTGCACAAATTCGTGGTTGAATTTTTTTTTCTTTTAAAAAAATCTTTCCAGGTTTGATTCTAGGCAAAGTATTCTTCTATCACCCCTGGGTGCCAGCCCTTATTTCCAAAGCTCCGTGGGAGACCCCATTGCTGTTCCCACCACATGCCAAGGCCGCGTGCCGGCTGCGAGGGGGGCAGTGGTGAGCGGCACAGACAGGGCTCCTGCCCTCAGGGAGCTTTGAGTCTGGAGGAAGAGTCCTCCCTTACGTCACCTCGCAGATGGCGATGAGACAGCGGCAGTTGCAGCATGTAACTGGGGCCAGGATCTGCTCCGGGGCTGGGAGGCTGCTTTCCTCGCTTTTGCTTGCTCTGCGTGGAGATAGCTGTTGGCAACATATCAGCACCAAGGGCCCAAACTCTGATTTTTTTTTTTTTTTTTGAGACACAGTCTCACTGTGTTGCCTGGGCTAGAGTGCGGTGGCATCATCCTAGCTCACAGCAAACTCCTGGGCTCAAGCGATCCTCCTGCCTCAGCCTCCCGAGTAGTTGGGACTACAGGCATGAGCCACCATGCCTAGCTAATTTTTTCTATATATTTTTAGTTGTCCAATTAATTTCTTTCTAATTTTAGTAGAGACGGGGTCTCGCTCTTGCTCAGGCTGGTTTCGAACTCCTGAGCTCAAACAATCCGCCCGCCTCGGCCTCCCAGAGAGCTAGGATTATAGGCGTGAGCCACCACGCCCGGCCCAAACTCTGATTTTTAAAGAATGTAGTTTGACCTTGGAAACAGGAGCAAGGGACAGTGTCCCAGAGAGGTGTGTGTTTAGGGGAAACGAAGCCAATTGGCAGAGTGTCAGGGCCACGCCCCGATTGCTGCGGCCCCAGCAGGGACCTGCCAGCCACTGCCAGTGTCTCACTCCAACGCCCCTTCCTGACCACCTAACCTACTTCCCCCGTGAAAAAAGGAAAATGTTCCCATGGTGATGGTTCTTTCAAAAGACTTTTCCATTTGTTCCTACTAGCTTTTGTTTAAAGTACTGTTCACTCTGTAAGAAGCCTCACACACAAGACCACATATTATATTAATATGAGTCCATTTATATGAAGTGTTCAGAAAAGGCAAATTAATAGACTAAGCAGATCAGTAGTTGCCTACGGCCCAGGGTGGGGGCGGAGATGAGCTGCAGAGAGGCTCCAGAGAGCTCTGGGAGGATGATGGGGCTGTTCTAGAATTGGATGGTGGTGAGGTTTCCACAACTTTGTGAATTTACTAAAAATCATCGAGTAGTATCTAACACAGTGAGTGAATTTTATGGTATATAAATTATGCTCCAATAAAGCTGTAAAAAAGTACAGTTCACTTTATAAATTTTAAACAGACAACCAAATTGAGCTAAATTGACGAGAAAGGGTTATAGATGAATCTGGAAATGTGCATGGGTGTCTACTTTTTGTTAATTGAATTGTAATTAAAATTTAAAAAGCTATTTTAAAGGAATTCATGGTTTTATTTGGGGAAGAACCACCTCCCTGTTGGTGTAAGTCCCACGTTCATCACCTAGGTTTGCTGGGAGCACGGTGCCCCCGTGAGCATTAGGGCATCTCATCTCCTTGAGGGAAGCGTGGGACTCACCCTGTGGCATGTGCCAAGCACCAGCGATCTGAGGCGCGCAGCCTGGGAGCCAGGGCTGGCGTGCTCTGCCTAGGACCCACCCTAGCGTACTCAGTCCTGTAGTGTTGGGAGGAGGCACAGGTCTCTTGTAATCCAGGTTAATGTCCAGTGTCGTATTTTATCACCAAAGGTTTTGGCATCCAGTTTTGTGAGACCACCTGTTGTTTCAAGAGCAGTGTAATAAGCAAAAGGTCAGGGAAATTTCTTCCTTAACAATGAGACTTTCCATGGGGACTGGCTCAGGCTGTTTGAATAGGGCCCTGGGGATGTGGTGGGGGCAGCGAGGCCACCTGGCCTGGCCCTCAGGTGTGAGGGGCTTCAGGTGTTAGCTGCTGTTCAATGACAACATTGTGCAGAGGGACAAGGGAGGCCTGTCTCGGATCCCAGTTGAAGCCTGTCACCTTTTGCCTGGCTAAATCCGAGGTCACGCAGAGGGGTCAAAGCCCGGGGACCCTCTGATTCTGGAATACTGGCTCTGAGTCCCCTGGGCTGCACGTGAGGAGTGGCTGTACTGGCTTCAGGGTCCAGTCTGGGGGTTTTGTCTGCATGCCCGTCTCTGCCCCCTCTGACCTCCCATTTGATGTGGTTTCTGCCTCTGTCTCCCTCTGCCTCTCACCTGGGCTCCACCGCCCTCCCTCCAGTGAGCAGGTACACCCAGCAGCTGCGACACCACCTGGGCCGCGACTCCAAGTTCACGTTGTGCTATGGCCAGAAGGAGGAGCTGCTGCTGGAGGAGACGTACACGGACACCATCATGGAGCTGGTCGACTTCAACAACGAGAGCCTGGGCAGCCTGGGCGGCCTGGCCTGCCTCCTGGACCACGCCACGGGCGTCCTGGACGAGCAGGGCGAGACGGTCTTCATCTGCGGCGACGCTGGCGTGGGCAAGTCCATGCTGCTACAGCGGCTGCAGAGCCTCTGGGCCACCGGCCAGCTGGACGTGGGGGTCAAATTCTTCTTCCACTTCCGCTGCCGCACGTTCAGCTGCTTCAAGGAAGGTGACACGCTGTGTCTGCAGGACCTGCTCTTCAAGCACTACTGCTACCCGGAGCAGGACCCCGATGAGGTGTTCGCCTTCCTGCTGCGCTTTCCCCACGTGGCCCTCTTCACCTTTGACGGCCTGGACGAGCTGCACTCGGACTTGGACCTGAGCCGCCTGCCCGACAGCTCCTGCCCCTGGGAGCCCGCCCACCCGCTGGTCCTGCTGGCCAACCTGCTCAGCGGGAAGCTGCTCAAGGGCGCCAGCAAGGTGCTCACGGCCCGCACAGGCGTGGAGGTCCCGCGCCAGCTCCTGCGGAAGAAGGTGCTCCTCCGGGGCTTCTCCCCCTGCCACCTGCGGACCTACGCCAGGAGGATGTTCCCGGAGCGGGCGGTGCAGGACCGCCTGTTGAACCAGCTGGAGGCCAACCCCAACCTCTGCAGCCTGTGCGCCGTGCCCCTCTTCTGCTGGATCATCTTCCAGTGCTTCCGGCACTTCCACACCGCCTTCGAAGGCTCGCCACAGCTGCCCGACTGCACGGTGACCCTGACCGATGTCTTCCTGCTGGTCACCGAGGTCCACCTGAACAGGATGCAGCCCAGCAGCCTGGTGCAGCGGAACACACGCAGCCAGGCGGAGACCTTCCGCGCTGGCCGGGGCACCCTGTGCTCGCTGGGGCAGGTGGCCCACTGGGGCATGGACAGGAGCCTCTTCGTGTTCAGCCAGGAGGAGGTGCAGGCCTCTGAGCTGCAGGAGGGAGACCTGCAGCTGGGCTTCCTGCGCGCCCTGCCGGAGCCGGGGCCCGGAGGGGACCGGCAGTCCTACGAGTTTTTCCACCTCACCCTCCAGGCCTTCTTCACAGCCTTCTTCCTCGTGGTGGACGACAAGGTGGGCACTCAGGAGCTGCTCAGGTTCTTCCGGGAGTGGACGCCTCCTGGGGAGGCCGTGGCGGCGTCCTGCTGTCCTTTCCAGTGCCTGGGCGGTGGCGGCCTGGCAGGCGAAGAGCCTTTCAAGAACAAGGATCATTTTCAGTTCACCAACCTCTTCCTGTGCGGGCTGTTGTCCAAAGCCAAACAGAAACTCCTGCGGCACCTGGTGCCTGCGGCGGCCCTGAGGCGCAAGCGGAAGGCCCTGTGGGCGCACCTGTTTGCCAGCCTGCGGTCCTACCTGAAGAACCTGCCCCGAGTCCAGAGCGAGTACTTCAACCAGGTGCAGGCCATGCCCACCTTCATCTGGATGCTGCGCTGCATCTACGAGACGCAGAGCCAGAAGGTGGGGCGGCTGGCGGCCAGGGGCATCTGCGCCAACTACCTCAAGCTGACCTACTGCAACGCCTGCTCGGCCGACTGCAGCGCCCTCTCCTTTGTCTTGCACCACTTCCGCAGTCGGCTCGCCCTCGACCTGGACAACAACAACCTCAACGACTACGGCGTGCGGGAACTGCAGCCCTGCTTCAGCCGCCTCACCGTCATCAGGTGAGGCCGCCAGGCACGGAAGTGGCGATGGGGTGGAGGGGACCAGGCTGTGGGGCGCCAGGATTGGCATTGTGGATTGGGATCCCGTGGATCCACCGTTACCCTAGGCAGATGGCAAGGAGCATAGCTTTGGTCAGGTGCACCTGAGTCAGCCCCAGCTGGGTGCCCTTGAACAAACTGCCTAACGTCTCTGAGCCTCAGTGTCTTCATGTGGAAAAAAGAGGTATTTGTAGTCCTAGCAATTATAGTAGTAATAATAACCAGTGTTGATTGAGAATGGGTGAAATGCATTACAAATATTACCGAATTTAATGCTCTTAACAACCCTGTAACGTAGGTACTGTTATTGTCTCCATTTTGGCAACTGAGGAAGTGGAGGCACAGAGAAGTTAATAACTTGCTCCAGGACACACAGCTTCAACATGGTGGAGCCAGAATGTATAAGGAACCTACCTGTTGAGATTAAGCCTCAGAGATAGCCCTTAAAAAGTTTCTGGCACACGAGAGCTTTTATTATATTATTGAAGAGAGAGCAGACTTTATGCTAATTGGCGTCGGTTACTCTCCGTGATCAAAGCCAGCAGCCTTGTGTGCTGCCAGAGACCCAGTCAAAACGCCGACTCGTGGTAATTTTCCTGTTGGATGGTTGGAGGAAAGAGAAGCCCGTCTGCTTTCTTCTATTAGCACTTCCTGTATAACATAAACCTTGTAGATCTCGACAGGGGTTTAAAGCCTCCGTTACTTGGCTCATGCAGTTCTGCAGAGCAGTAGGGATTTGGAACGGACTCCCTGTGCCTGTTACTCCAGTGCCAGCGTGTAAATTGCTGGGGACGTGGGGTGTGGGGAGGCTGCCCTGGCCTGGGACTCTCAGCCAGGGACTCTGCCTGCACAGCCCTAGGCAATCTCACACCCAGTGCCACCTGTGCCCATCTTAAAAGGGAAACTGCACCATCCTGCTGTGCCCAGGTGAAGTTTCCCTCCACACCAGTGGAAGAAAACGCAGCTCACAGGAAAGCAGCAGGATACAGGCAAGCACAGGGGAGCATTTTCAGCTCCGTGAGGGCATCGGTTAAGATTATTTTCATCTGAGAATTAGAGAAAACTCCAAATCTTGGTGGCTTAAATCAGTTATAAGCTTATTTCTCATATGCAGACGTCTAAAGGTAGGTGGTTCAGGACTGGTGCGGTGTCTCTTGACCATCAGGAGCCTGAGCTCTCTTCTGCTTTGCTGCTCTGCTGTCCTTACTGCCTGGCTTTCACCTCTTGGCCCAAGACAGCTGCTCAGGCTCCAGCCATCTAGTTGACATTCTAGCTGCCAGGAAGAAGGAAGGGTAAAGAAGTGTACACCCATTCTTTTAAGAAGACTTCTCAGCTATTGGTAATGATATTGCTGCTTAGATTTCATTGGCAGGACTTAATCATATGTGCCTAGCTAAAAAATGGGAATTTAATTGCTAAGAAAGCATAGATATTGGGAGCAACTAATTGCCTCTGCCATCCTGGCATGGGCATGTGCTGTAATTACACACTCTGCCTTAGTGTGAAGCTGGGGACTATGCAGGGAGGGTCCAGGGTGTCTGACCTCATTTTGGTGTGGCCTAAAAACCAAGCTTTTACCTGTTCAGCATTTTGCTTATTACAGAAGTCAGCTTGTGGGGCAAGTTCGGCCCATGGCTTGTGTTTGTAAATAAAGTTTTATCGGAGCGCAGCCACACCCATTTATTGGCTGCTTCACCCTACAGAGTTGAGTAGCTGTGATGGAGGCCATAAGGCCCGCACAGCCTAAAACATTTGCTCTCTGCCACTTCACGGAAGAAGTTTGCTGACCCCTGGTTATCGCCTCACCCACCCCTGTGCTGTATTCTACCCTCCGGCCTCAGCTAATGATGGGGGAGTGGATTGAGAGCAGGGTAGTTGGTTACAGATTACTTGGTAGTAAAAAAATCATTTTGCATTTTGGCTACATTAAAATATCCTGCTAGTATAGGGATTTCCCAGAGAAATCCCAGTGTGTGGCTGGCCTCTGTCCAGGAGAGACCACAGTCCTGAAGGCCTTCTTTCTCTGCCCCTCCCTCTGAGCCTGGTCTCCTGAGGGGGCATCCGCATTACAGAGGACTTGGGGAGTGGCCTTGTCAGGCTCTGCCTCTGAGCTCAGGCCTCTGGCTGTTTCTGCCCCTGCCCTTTCCCACCCCCTGACAGGAGGTTTTCTCCCCACCCCCATTTAGCCTGAACATTTCCAGATGGGGGAGACTGTTGGCATTTTGGATGAGACAGTTCTGGTGGGGCCTGTCCTGCATTTTGCAGGACACCTAACATCCTTGGCCCCGCCTGCAAGATGACCGGGTGTCCTCTCCCCCAGTCACAATAGCCACTAAAGGCAGCTACTCCCATTTCCAAACCCCGTACCCCTGCTGTGCAGCAAGAGCCAGGAAGGGACATGGACACATACACACACACACACACACACACACACAGACGGTAGTAGAGGTGGTCGGCCTCACGTGTAGCCTGTGTGATGAGCCTGGGGACGAGCCCGGGCCACGCCGCAGCCTTGCCGATGGGCCCCTCCGTGGCCAGGCTTGTCAGGGGCCGTGTGGCTGCCACAGCTGTTCTCACAGGGGCGCCTGTACCTGGGAAAACACCGGGGGCTGTGGGCTTCTGGGTCCTTGCGGGATTGATGCTCCCTCATAAGGAGCAGCTGCTCTAATTCAGTCACCTTTGCCACTTCGTTTCAGACTCAGCGTAAACCAGATCACTGACGACGGTGTAAAGGTGCTGTATGAGGAGCTGACCAAGTACCGGATTCTGACATATTTGGGGTACGTCTTTCTCAAGAACTCTGGGCCAGGGACCTAGCAATACCACAGAACGGCGGGGATCGCCAGTCACGTGGGTGACCGGACGACAGGACGGGCGGCCCAGGGCTGGGAAGCGCGTGGACCGGGAGCTCAGGGTCCTGGGTTCTGCCCCTGCCTCGCTGGGCCTCGGCCTCCCCACTTGCAACGCTGGGGCCCTAACGGAGGCCGGTGGTGTTACAACTGTTACTGGGGTGCAGAGAGAACATATGGGGTGTATTTAAGGAACGTTAGAATACTGTTTATGTATCAGTCTTTACTACTACGTTGTGGGTCCATAATCCCTCATCCCGAGCCCCTGGGATGACACGGTCGGGATCCAGAGTATGTGCTGTATAGTGGACTCCAGGACAACACCCCGTTTTCAGATACTTTAATATTTCGGCCCAAAATGTACGAATATTCAAACCAAGTGGGGCAAGGGAAGACCGTAAGTAGCTCCACATCTGTTGCCAAAAGAATCATGAAAAATTTTGGGTTTTCAGAGCCTTTGGGATTGTGGTGTTTGAGATGAGGGATTGTGGGCTGGTCCCCCAGCCCCGTGGCCACCGTGGCCCTGTGAGCTGCGGCAGCCACTCAGCCGCTTTGGGCCCCTGCTGCCTCCGCTGCAGAATGAGGGCAGAGAGGCCAGCGATCCCAGGCCGCCCTCAGCTCGGGAGGTTTGTGTGACTGGGGAGGCCTCGAAACTCAGCTTAGTTACTTCTTTCAGCCTCTCTCCGCGTTGTGGTCGAGTTGGCGTTGAGGGGTGAGATGACTGAAAGGTAGACATGGAGCAGGTTCGATATTCAGAGAGAAACTTCCCCCTCGAGATGCTGAATGTAATTGTAATTGAATAAATACCTGTCACCTGCTGGTTATGAAGCACTTATGTGCCAGGGCTTTGCATTATGTCATGTAACCCTCATAACAACCCTGCAAGGGTGCTATCATTATTATCCCTCTATTACAGATGGAGAAACTGAGGCACAGGGAGGTCAAATAAGTTGTCCCAGGCCATAAGGCCAGAGAAGGGGGTAGAGCTGGTCTTCAACCCAGGCTGTGAGACCTGAGAGCCCCAGGCTCTGCTCTCCATGTGTTCTCCTTTCAACCCAGACTTTGGAAATCAGAAGACAACATATACTCACTTTAAAAAAATCAGGGTTATTGAAATGACATCGAGAGTCATAAAGTCTCATGACTGTGCTTTCTTTCAAAGTTTATACAACAACCAGATCACTGACGTTGGAGCCAGGTACATCTCCAAAATCCTGGATGAATGCAAAGGCCTCACGCACCTGAAGTAAGTGGGGCAGGTGTGCAGGTCCCCTAGTAGCTCCTCTTGGTCACCCCTTCTGTGTGCAAAGAATCAATGTCACTGTATAGAGCTACCACAAGCCTTGTGCTCGCCCCAGGGCCGTGTTGGCCAAAGTAAGGAGACCTGTGTGTGGAATGTGAGCTGCCACATGGAAGAATTCTGACCCGTGGGTGAGGCTGGGACTCTGGAGGGGCCACTTGTCATTGGTGGGGGGACAGCTTGGCATTTTGATTTCATTAACTACTGATAGGAAGAAAGGCCTATCACCCTTTCTGGAGTACTAAGAAAAAGGTTTCTTCCCCTAAGGGAATTTCCCATCAGTTATAAGCAAGAGCTTGATCCTTTTCCCTGTCCTGGAATCGCCCTGCTAAGGGTGACAGAGTGCCAAGCTTAGAGCTTCTGGTCTTGCCCTGGCGACGGGAACACACACCTTGTCTATTGGCCGTCAAAGGTCCCAGGCCTGCTGATGGAAGCGAGTGATGCTCCTGAGGTCCCTTAGGGAACCCCAGGCAGGGCCTGGGACCCTGAGTTCCTGCAGAGACTGTGGGCCCCATCCTGGAGGGGAACCTTGGCCCACTGGCCTCAGGGCTTCAGGCTCCCTCTGAGAGCAGGCCCAGCATGCTCTTGTGGGTCTCAGGAGAAAGACCACACTTCCCAAGAGTGGCCAGGAGGAGTTCTGTGCTGGGGAGGGGGCGGCCTTTGTTGGAGTCCCCGCGCAGCTGGAGGCTGACCGCGCATGACTCTCTCTGCAGACTGGGAAAAAACAAAATAACGAGTGAAGGAGGGAAGTGTCTCGCCCTGGCTGTGAAGAACAGCAAATCAATCTTTGAGATTGGGTGAGTAGAAGAGGATGCACGTCCGTGGGTGTAATTCAGCCTGCTCTGTGCACGTGGGCTCCCGCTGGTCTTTTGCATGTCTGTGTACCAGAAGGACCGCTGGGTCTCCTGGGGGGAGACAGCAGAGCGCGGCCACCACTGACACCCCAGGAGCTTCTGCATAGGAACTGTTGCAGGAAGTCCCAGGATTGGCTACGACTTTGTGCAGACTTTTAAGTCATGCAAAAATCAGTATTTTCACCCCCAGGAAATGGAGGGAGCTGTTCTAGCCCTATGTAGTTTCTGATGTTCTTCATATCTCTTCTGGATGCCTTGTTTTTTCTTTCACTTTTTTTTGTGGTAAAATATATATAACATATGTTTTCTATCTTAATCATTTGTAATTGCATAGTTCAGTGGTATCAGGTATATGCATATCATTATGCAACCATCACCTCCATCTCTAAAACTCTTTTCTTTCTTTCTCTTTTTTTTTTTTTGAGACTCGCTCTGTCACCCTGGGTAGAGTGCAGTGGCATCATCATAGTTCACTGCAATCTCCAACTCCTGGGCTCAAGTGATCCTCCTGCCTCAGCCTCCTGTGTAGCTGGGACTACCGGTGTGCGCCACTGTGCCCGGCTAATTTTTTTCTATTTTTAGTAGAAGCAGGGTCTTGCTCTTGCTCAGGCTGGTCTCAAACTCTGGACCTCAGTGATCCTTCTGCCTCGGCCTCTCCACAACTCTTTTCATCTTGCAAAACTGAAACTCTGTACCCATTAAACAATAACTCTTCTCTCACCCTCTCCCCAGCACCTGGCAACTACTCTTCTATTATACTTTTTTTCTCTATGGTTTTGACTATTCTAACTACCTCGTAGAGGTGGAATCATTCAATATTTGTCTTTTTGTGACTGGCTTATTTCGCTTAGCATAATGTCCTCAAGGGTCATCCATGCTGTAGCGTGTGATAGGATTTCTCACCTTTTTAAGGCCGAATACTATTCCATTGTGTATACACACCACATTTTGCTTATCTATTCAGCCACTGATGGACACTGGGTTGCTTCCATGTTTTAGCTGTTGTGAATAATGCTGCCTTGCACTGGGTATGCAAACGTATCTTTGAGGCCCTGCTTTCAATCCTTTTGGATGTATGCCCAGAAGTGGAATGGCTAGATGCAATGGTAATTCTACGGTTAATTTTTGAGGAACCGTCGTACTGTTTTCCACAGCAGCGGCACCATGTTATATTCCCACCAACAGCCCGTAAGGTTCCAGTTTCTCCACCAAGTGTCCTCAGACACACTTGCTGTTTTCTGTGTTTTTCATAGTAGCCATCCTGATGGCTGTGAGGTGGTATCTCATTGTGGTTTTGATTCTCAAGGCTTTTTAAAGCTTTTTATATCATTATAATTTTTTATTGGATCATAAAATGAACACAGGTAACTTTGGAAGCTATGGGAAATATGTAAAATTATAAAAGTTATCTTCTCAGAAAATAATATTGTTAACATTTGATGTCAATTAAGCTCTCCCACTTTCTCTCTTCCTCTCTCTCTCTCTTCTATTTTTTTTTTTTTTTAATATAGTAGAGGTCAAACTATATATGTACAGAATTTTATCCTTTTTTACCTAGTCTCACGAGTATTTTCCACCTTATGAAAAATTTAGTGCCATTCAGTTGAATAGTGCTTAGCAAGACACAAAACTCTTACTCTGGCTCCGGCAAGCCGTACCCTGAAGCATGGAGGTGGTAGCTGGCTCAACCTGAGTGTGCTGCTGAGGCTGCCCCGGTTCTGTCGAGAGGGCCAGGCAGGCTGGCTTTGCCCTGTGTAGACTGGGCCCCTCATCCTATTAGGAGTAGCTGATACCTTTTGTAGGCCAGGCACTGTCCTAAATGCTTTGCATCTATTAACTCAGTGAATCCTCACAACAGCTCTATGAGGTAATATGCTTACTATTCCCATTTTATAGGTGAGGTGACTGAGGTCCAAGGAGTTATGTAATAGGCCCAAGTTCACCCAGGTAGCAGAGCCGGAGAGGAGCCCCCCATCTTACCGTGCAGACTGCTTTAGCCAGATCCTCCCAGATGCTCTGCTCTGGGGGAGAGAATGCAGCTTTGCTATTGCAACTGTCCACCAAGATTGCAAGAGTCTGCAGAGCATGGTTTGGTAACGTCATCTTATGTAAAAGGAAGATTGCTGATAAGGTTTCTGAATGGGCTTCCTGATCTTTGCTTCATGGAAGACTGTGTCTTCAGGAACTTCTCTGCCCCTGAGAGTTGCACAGATGCTGGGAGTCAGGATGCTGCAGACCCTTGTGTTCTGCAGGAGATACTCAGGTAGTGTCTTTCTGAGACAGCCATGAGCCCAGGCCCTCAGACTGACAGCTCTCCCACAGCTCGGCGTGAGACTTGGTCTCCAATTGTGCGACTCGCCATGCCTTCTGTCCACAAGCTCCCGCCGCTCTTTCTCCTCACATTGCCCTTTGAATCTGAAATCCAGAGCAGCCAAATAATGGGCCAGTGTGGTGAGGTATTAGTCTCTAGGCCACAACTCCAGGGACTGAGCAGAAAATCTGCCTGCTGAGTATGAATCAAGAGGCAGCCCCTGGCAGAGACTAAGGGGTGAGCTGGCCGTCCGGGGGGAGATAACTTTCACTGTCTTGCCTCCGCCTGCAGGATGTGGGGCAATCAACTTGGGGACGAAGGAGCAAAGGCCTTCGCAGAGGCTCTGAGGAACCACCCCAGCCTGACCAACCTGAGGTAAGCGTTGCCTTCTGGCCCCCTGTCTCCAGGGCAGACCTGGTCACTCCGCGCTCCCCTTGGGACAGGGAGGAGCTGAGGGGACGGGGTGATTGGCTTTCCTAATAGGGGAGGGATTTGTGTGCGTGATTTTTCTTTCCTTTTAAAAAGTGTTTCATTGACGCACAAACATACAGTAAAGTACGTTATCCTAAAGTGTTCCGCTCAGTGACTTTTGCACACGTGCACACCAATGTGACCACCATCCAGATCAAGACACAGGACATTTCCAGCCCCCAGTCATCTCCACATGCACCTTGGAGGCTGGGGAAGCAATTCCTAAGTCCAGATAAAGCTTAACGGGATGCTGGGCAGCAGGCTCCTGCCGCTTCCTCATTCTCGGGACAGTGCTGGAACAGAGGGGACCGTCCCTCTCTGTAAACACAGATGTGCCTTCCCAGCCCTTCATTAGGGCTCCGGCCAGATTCCTCAGCCTTGATATCTCCAAGGCTCTGCCACTGGCCTTCCTGCTACTGAAAGAGAGTCCAAGATGCTGGGGGCATCTGATGGGGTCTCACCGATGCGGCACCTAAAAATGCCAGCCCTCTGGAGCAGAGCCCACCAGGCCTCCTCAGCCTCCAGCGTGGACATAAAAACCAGAGGCGCTGAGCCCAGTCCACTGTCCTGTGAGCAGGCCTCGCCGGTGTCCTGTTTCCTATCTAGCCCGTCTTTGAGTGGTCTTGCACCTGTCCTCATGCTCCAAGCTCTGGAGCAACAACGCCTGGCCAGCTGCCGACGTGCCCAAGCATTGTGCCTCCTGCCTCGAGTCAGCCCGAGCAGGTGCCGCATCCAGGCGGAGTTGAAGCCAAGATCGACTGTAGACGTGTCTCTAATAATTCACCCCAACTGTTTTCCTTCCTAGTCTTGCATTCAACGGTATCACCACAGAAGGAGGAAAGAGCCTAGCACGGGCCCTGCAGCAGAACGCGTGTCTGAAGATATTCTGGTAATGGCCAGGGCCATCCTGAAGGGTTGGGTCTCAGGAATTACTCTAGAGGCTGCACACAAGCCTGGAGTCTTCACCGAAAATGTCCCTCTCGAATGGAAAGACTTTACGCCTTTCAAAGTTGGGGTGATAATTTAATTCCTCCTAGAGAAGAAAATAGCTATTTCCAGAAGCACAAACAGGTACAGGAGGGGGAAGTGGGCCCCGGGAGCACAGGTTTGAGGCATTGGACTTCTTTGCTGCCCTAGGACCCGGGAGACCCAGAGGCTGGCCACACAAACTGTCAGGCGTGTCCTCGGAACACCCTCACGGATGCTTGGCGGAGCCCACCTTTCCTGCACTGGGCTCAAAATTTTCTCCCTTTCTCCTCTTCAACTGCCTCCCCCCTGCAGCCTCCTCCTTCCATAGGTTTCCACGTCAGGATTTAGCCTTCTTGCTCCATCCAGCTCACCTGTCACCTGTCACCAGAAGCCCACAGTCCTCGCTCCCTCTCTGCACTCCAGGCCACTTATTAAGTGGATGTTGCCTCCTGAGGGTGTTTTTTGTTGGTGTTCCTTTTTTTTTTTTGTCATTTAATCTTTCGTTTTTCTTTATTTGCATTTTATTTACTCACCTGTATCATAACTTCCTTGCAGGTGAGGGAGTTGTGTTATACCCCCCACATCATCTACTTATAGCTCACTGGTGATTTGATTTTGCTAAATTAGTTCCTGAAAATCATGAAAATGTCATCTTTATGAGAATTCTGATACTGGACCTCCTGGCCGGCATTTTTAATTCTTTCCCCTCAAAAAGTCTTTAACATTTTGAAACTACATGCTTTTTTGAAAACATGTAAGTCACACGTCTAGAAAATAAGAAGTAAAAGTTCCTCTTTCATGTTTTCTAAAATAACCTTTTCCTTCTAGCTTTTTGTTCTATGTATATGCAAATATATACAAAACAGGATAGCAGTTAGCAGGTGGCTTAAACTATTTCTCAACCGCACTTCGTACATATTTTACATGTCCCTTTACGTCAGGGTTTCTCGGTCTTGACACTGTTGACGTTTCGATCCAAAGAATTCTTTGCTGTGAGGGGCTGTCCCGTGCATCCTGGGATGTTCAGCGGCATCCTGGCCTCCACCCGCAACTGTGACGATTGAAAATGTCTCCAGACGTGGCTGAGTGCCCCGCGGAGAGGGAGATCACCCCGGTTGAGAGCCGCTGTTCTACGTGGATAGTTAATAGTGCCAACACTCGGGACTTCCTGAGTGCGGACTGCATGCCACGTGGCATTCTAAGCCTTTACCAATGTATCGGCTCACTCAATGTCACAAGCACCCTGCGAGATCTGTGCTATTACTCTGCTCACTCACTGATGAGAAATCTCAGACCCAAGGAAGTTAAACCCCGAGCCCGAGGTCACCCCGCTTGTGAGTGATACAACCTCGGAGGGCTCCTCAAGGCCGTGCCCTTCTTCCTTTTTCCTTCCCTGCCTCATTCTCTCTGAGGGCTGCACAGCGTCCCTGGAATGGACAGTCAAGATTTGTTTCATCAGTTTCTGTTGATATTTAAATTCGTTCACATTTTACATTATGACAGATGATACCACTGTGTATGTTGCAACGTATAAATCCTAGCGTGTACGTTACATCTTTACACGCTGCAGGCTAAATTTCTAGAAGTCTAATCGTCTTAAAGTGTCTTAAACTCTAATTGTCTAAAATACAAATAAAGAAAAAGAAATTTGACCTTCAAGGAATGATTTTTAAAAATGTTCTTTCTGTTCTGTTCTTCTTCCTAATGATTCTTTCATCCTCTGGCACAAGAGGGTCCAACCCTATGTATGCCAAGGAGTTTCGGGGCTTTATCCAGACCACTCTGGTTTTAAGAACAATTGAGAAACTTCCTGAACTTCCAGTCACTTGACTTGGGTCCGTCACAACTAGCCTCAGAGCAAAGTGCTGAACACATTTTAATGTGCAGTTGGCGGCTGTTCCAGGTCTTCACACTGATTCGGACAACACGCTGCCAGTGGTGTTCAAGGGATCTGGGGACTGGAGGAGCCCTGAGAAGCAGGCGTCAGCCCCTTGTTTTCTGTGGGCCCCCGTCTTGCATGAAATCGGAGGCTCAGCAAAGGTGGGGCGGGAGAGTGGGCTCCTCTGCAGGCGGCAGGGCTAAGAAATAGGCTCGGGTGCAGGCTTTGCACTGGAAACGAATCCGCATTTATCTTCTGTGGGGGTGGGAAGCTGGGCTTGGCTGGGCTTTCAGCAAGTGACCAGCTGCAGGGCTGGCAGCCCTGGCTGGGACCCGCCCCTGCGAACTCACTGAACAGTGTCTGCCAAGTAGGCTCTCCTGAGCAAACACTTCCTTTTTTTTTCCAGGCTGACCAAAAATGAACTCAACGATGAAGTGGCAGAGAGTATGGCAGAAATGTTGAAAGTCAACCAGACGTTGAAACATTTATGGTAATTTCAGACTGTGCTGCTTTTCAAAAATAGTTTTTGAGATAAAATTTGCATGTCATAAAATTCACCCTTTTAAAGTGCGCAATTTTAGTGCATTCACAAGGTTGCGCAACCACCATTTAATTCTAGAACACTTTCGCTGTCCCCCCACACCCCCGTAAGCACCGAGCAGGCACTCCCCATCCTTCTCCTCGCATAGCACCTGGCAACCACTAATCTGCTTTCCGTCTCTATGGACTTGCCGGCCCTGGGCATTTCATATAAATGGAATCATACAACATGTGATCTTTTGTCTCTATGTTCTTTTGCTAACAGCTTTCAAGGTTCATCTACGTTGTAGCATGTATCAATACTTCATTGCTTTTTTATGGCAAAATGATAATCCATTGTGTGGATATTTAACCCTATATTTATTCATCAGTTGATAGACATTTGGGTCCTTTCTACTTTTTTTGTTGTTTTTTTTTGAGACGGAATCTCGCTCTGTTACCCAGGCTAGAGTGCCATGGCGTCAGCCTAGCTCAACTGCAACCTCAAACTCCTGGGCTCAAGCGATCCTCCTGCCTCAGCCTCCCAGAGTCCTAGGATTACAGGCATGAGCCACTGCACCTGGCCTCAACTTTTTGACTACTATGAATAATGCCACTGTGAACATTCACATACATGTTTTTGTGTGAACATATGTTCATTTCTCTTGGGTATATACTTAGGAATAGAATTGCTGGGTCATATGGCAACCCTGTTTTAACTTTTTGAGGAACCACCAAACTGTTTCCAAAGTGGTGGCACTATTTTACATTTTCATCAACCACATATGTGGGTTCCAATTTCTCTGTATCCTCCCCAACACTTGTTACTGTCCATCTTTTTGATTCTAGCCATACTAATGGGTGTGAAGTAATATCACGTTGTGGTTTTGATTTGCATTTTCCTGATGACAACATTGAGTGCCTTTTTATGTGCCTACTGACCATCTGTATATCTTTTTTGGAGAAATGTCTCCATATCCTTTGCCTTTTTTTTTTTTTGCTTTTTTTGAGGCAGGGTCTTGCTCTGTCACCCTAGGCTGGAGTGCAGTGGCGTCGTCGTAACTCACTGCAGCCTCAAACTCCCAGGTTCAAACAATCCTCCTGCTTCAGCCTCCTGACTACCTGGGACTACAGGTGCACACCACCACACCCAGCTAATTTTTCTAGTTTTTGTAGAGACAGGGTCTCGCTCTTGCTCAGGCTATTCTCAACTCCTGGCCTCAAGCGATCCTCCCCGCCTCAGCCTCCCAGAGTGCTAGGATTACAGGCATGAGGTCTGTGCACCCAGTCTTTGCCCATTTTAAAATTGGGTTATTTGTTATTTTATTACTGAGTTGTAGGAGTTCTTTGTATCTCCTGGGTGCTAGACCAGGATTGCTAGATACAGGATTTGTAAATATTTTCTCTTTTTCCATGGGGTTTTTCTTTTTCTTGATAGTGACCTTTGAGGCGCAAAAGTTTTAAAATTTTGATGAAGTCCAATGTGCCTGTGTTTTTCTTTGGTTGCTTGTGCTTTAGGTGCCTTATCTAAGAAGTCATCGCCTAATCCAAGGTCACAAAGATTTACACCTAAGTTTTCTAAGTTTTACAGCTTTGCTCTCACATCTAGGTCTACAATCCATTCCGAGTTAATTTTTGTGGGCAGCGTAAAGCAGGAGTCTGACTTCATGCTCGCGCACGTGGACACCCAGCTGCCCAGCACCACGTGTTGGAAAGACTATCTTTCCCTATTGAATGGCATTAGCACCCTTGTCAAAAATCAATTGACCATAAGTGTGTGGGTTTATTTCTGGATTCTCTATTCTAGTCCATTGATCTGTAAGTCTGTCTTTATGCCAGGACCACACTGTCTTAATTGCCAGAGCTTTGTAGGAAGTTTTGAAATCGGGAAGTCTGAATCCTCCAGCTTTGTTCTTCTTTCTCAAGATCGTTTTGGCCATTCTGGGTCCTTTGCATTTTCTACAAGTTGAGGATCACCTTGTCAATTTCTGTTAAAAAAACCCAGACTGTGCTACTTTTACATTATATCTGTTTCTCTTTGCCTTTTAGCCTGCAGACTTCTTTCATGCCCTTCCCTAGGTGCCAGGCGAGCCTCTCCAGGGAGAACAGAGGTCGCAGGGGCTAGAGAGAGAGTCATGGCTGCTTTGTGCATGCACGGCCTGCACCGGCCCTAGTGGAGGCAGCCCCGTGGGCAGATGTGCCTGACACTGCCAGGCTTTTTAGGGACTTTAGGTGCACTTCTCTTTCCTGGCCTCTTGCCAAGTCTTGGTTGGTGGCAGCCTGTTCTACCCTTAAGGAGGGGTGGGTGGTGGCAGTGGCAGCCACCATGAAGGTGGTGACTAGAAAGCAGCAGTTTAACTGAATGCAAAACTCAGTGTCCACTTCTGGGTTCTATTTTGTTCCTTTCACAAAGATGTTCAGTTACACTTGTCGTCATGCTCATTGGAAGGTCATCACTTCTGCCACTGAGCGCAGGGATCCTAACCTTTGGAGGATGTGGCTGGGAGCACTGGGTCCTGGCTGCAGCCCAGCCACCAGTGGTCCTGTGTGCTTGGGCAGTAATGGTGACAAGAGCTCCCTTCCATGGGGAACTGTGTCCAGTATACATCCTCCTGTTGTAACCTCACACACCCAGTGTGGGGGCACTCTTATAGTTGTTCCCGTTTTACAGATGAGACGATTGAGGCACAGACAGGTAAGTTTATTTCTTCAAGGTTCTGTAGCTGAGAAGTGGGGGGTGGGGCCCCTAACCACTATGGGTACTGCCTCTCCAGGGGGCAGGCCCCTTCACGCTGATTTTCTATAACCTCATCAATCATGACAGCATAGGTAGGGCTTCCTTCTTGAGTCAGTGCGCAAGAATGCTAAGGGTCAGGTTTAGCAGTAACCTATTCTACACACAGCCAGGAGTGGGGAGTGAGTCTGTGATGACATGTGGACGTGCCACTGCGTCTCACCTGGTTGGGTCAGGGGCATAGCTGCCCAGGAGGGCGTCAGAGGAATGTCCACTTTCCCTGCTATCTCTGAAACCTTTGCTTCATTTGCATCATTGCTACCCAGCATAATGGGGTACACTCTTAGAGACCCCATTACCGATGCTTCTCCACTGAGACCCATGAGAACTGTTTCTCCTCCCTCCCCTTTGGTTATTGAAGAGGACATGACACCATCTTAGAGGCTTTTGAGTCCCCCAAAGAACAGAAGGATCAGTTGGTAGCTACTTAATTTTAAAGACTGTCTTGCCTTTCCCTGGCTACTGGAAGAGACGTCAGACTGCCTGTTCCCCTGCTGATGAATTTCTTTGTATTTGTTGTTCTGACTGGTGGTCTCCAAACATTTTTAATTGGGAACCTCTGCAATGAGAAATGTCAAACAAACATGCACACACCTGTTCATGTATTACATTATCTTCGTGTGAATATACAGATATATTATGCTCACCGTAAAAATATACAAAAAATTAAAAATGTTTAAAGCTGTCCTTTATCTGGTGGATCTGATCCAGACGTGTTGAGCCAGATGAAAACTCACAGGATTCAGTTCCCCCGTGACCACCCTGCCTCCTCTCCCACCGCACCCTCCCAACTCCCTAACAAAGGGCGGATCTGGTCCGGTAGTGCGTATCTGACATGGGTGTGCTCTTATTTCAGGCTTATCCAGAATCAGATCACGGCCAAGGGGCTCGCCCAGCTGGCGGATTCGTTGCAGAGTAACACTGGCATCATGGAGATTTGGTAAGACCCCGCCCTCCGCCGCCGAGCACAGTAATAACAGCGACAGGATTCTTTGCTCGGCACCCTGAGTCTGCGGCAGGCAGAGTGCAGGGCAGTTTCCATCTCGTCCAACAAGCCTGTAGAGTACATCTCCATCTCCATTTTACAGATGTAGGAACCGAGGCCCAGACCAGTGAAGTCAAATTTGCCCAAGGGCATCATAAAAGTGGAAGCGACAGTTCATCCCAGACCACCCGACCCCACGGTCTGTGTGCTCCTACCCCAGCCTCGTCCTTGTTGACCTTCAGGGGTGGCGAGGGGGTGGGGGGGGGTGAACGGCCTGTGCAGGGTTTCCTACCGTGAACAGACTGCCCTGGACTCAGGCAACTGAGAGCTGGGGGTGCTGGCCAGGGGTTCGGAGCTCATTCTCCCCCTGGGTCAGGCTTCCTGGGAATCAGGAGACACTTCCAGGCTGCGTTTGAGCTGTTTATGCTCTTTTCTTTACTTCTTTTTTCTGCCTTGAGAACTTCTCATGCTAACGGAGAAAACCACGGCATTTGTGTTCCTGTGACACTGAACCCCATCTCGCTTCTTTCTTGCCCCCCACTCAGCAGCCCCCTTAATAATGTAACTGTCTGGGTGAGGTGGGACTGGGTGGATACTGAGAGAGGGGCCTGGAGTGTCGTCTGATAGTAACCACAGTGACCACGTTACGCCAGGCACCATGTTAGGGGCTGGGATGTGGCGGGTGATGCGACAGAAGGGCCCTGGCAGCTTGGAAGTGCTGGCCGACCTGGGCTGAGAACAGAGCCCCGTGCGCCTGAACCCAGACCCGTGAGTGCTCTGGAAACGTGTTCTCCACCTCAGGGCCTGAGACAGCCCTTCCCTGTGAGCGGCTCGGGCCCATGCGGGCGCTGGGGGGACGCAGCTGGCTCTCTGTCGAGGACACAGACCACAGGAGTTCAGGAGCCGCTGCAGCTCCTCTGAGACCCATGGAGCAGCCGCACCATGACCCCAAACCCTCAGCTCAGGGGGTCGCTACTCATTAACTACTTTGTCCCTTCATGACTGGGGAGAAGAATTTCACAGCCAAAAAAAAATCCAAGAGATACAGCTCCTTGGCTGTATCAAGCAGCTTGAACAGTGTTTTTAAACTTCGCTTTGGAACTCATTCAAGGATCACAGAGTTAGTTTGGTGGGCTGCAAGCAGCGTCATTTAAAAATGAAACTGAAAAGGGTAGAACTTTTCAACGTGCATGGTAGGGAGAGAAGAGTTATTTCATGAATCTTATTTCAGACTTGCATGTGGGTGTGTGTGTATTTGCCTAGATGATAGTTCACAGCGTAAAATGTAATTCTTACTTGGGGCTACGGTCAAAAAGTTGTTTGAGAAACACTCATAGGGAATAGAGCCAAATCCAAGGACGGCACCCACACAGCGGCCTGTGTGCCGCGAAGGCCGCCCGCTCTGCAGCCTGCGAGGCGTGAGAGGGGCAGGACTTTTCTCCACAGCCAGTTAGGACAACGTGAAGATCTGCAGCTGCTTTAGTCCCTCAGGCTTGGAAGAACACGCTTTCTCCCTCTCGGAGGCCACTGTTTCGACACAAGGAACTATTTGAGCAGGGCCAGGAGTCTTTCGCTTCAGGGCGGGCCATCCGGAGCCTGTGTGAGCACCTGCGTCAGGGTGGAGGGGAAGATCAGAGAGGCAGGACGGGCCCAGGTGCTGGACTCGAGGGTGTCTTCTCTTCTGTTTCTGACTTATTCTGGGAGCAGTCAGAGCGTGTTCCTCTGTGCATGACGCCACGGGACTGGGCTCTGGGAAGGCGCTGGCCTTCTTGGCCCTGTCCAGGGCCTGCCACACCAGGCCACAGGGCTGGGATGAAGCCTGCAGGGGAGCCAGGGTTAGGGAGCAGCTCTGCTTGGAGCTAGAATGCACCTATCTCCTTGGACTCATTGTCTGGTTAGACATTTATTTCTACCTCATTCCTTCCTGAAAAGAACTTGAAGTCTGAAGTCCCTTGGTGAGCTCTGCCTTCAAGGACAGAAAAGAGAGGTGTTGACCCCAGGTCACTAAGTTGCACAGCTGGATGACAGTGGTGCCATTTACTGAGCCAGGGAACCCTGAGGAGGTGTGGGCACTTCTGAGGTGCCAGGGGGACATCCAAGTGGAGATGCCAAGTAGGTGACGGGCTGCACTGAGATGAACAAGGTCATGGTGTCAATGAGATCACCTGGGGGAAAGGGGCTGTCCCAAACCTGGAGGAAATCCGAGGTTAGCGCTCCCGTGGAGGCACGTATGGAGAAGGCGGGCTGCCCAGAGACAGGAGAAAAAGCAGACAGCAAGCGGCCAAGCCAAGGGAAGGTAGTGCTTTAAGGAGGGAGACGTCAGGACAGCCACATGCCTGTGGGGGTCAAGAAGGACAAGACCTGAAAAATGTCATTAAGTTCAGGCTGATGGAGGCTGTTGGTGACCTTAATGAGACCCAGTGAATAGAGTGGTGGTGGTTGGAGAGGATGAATATTCATAGACAAGAACTGTTTGAACCAGCTGTGTTCCTCAGCGTCAGGGTCGTGTGATGTGCACGTGTGCGATGAACATGGTTGGGAAGGGGTGGACAACAGTCCCTAACATTTTACCTGTCTTCTTTGTTTTCCTCCTTTTCAACAGCCTAAATGGAAACTTGATAAAGCCAGAGGAGGCCAAAGTCTTTGAAGATGAAAAGCGGCTTGTCTGTTTCTGAGACGATGCTTTTCTGTGCTTGGGGTCTTCGCCGGGAGGTCCTTAGCAGCAAGTCCGTGTGCAGCCCCCTCCTGTCAGATGTCTTCCCGGGGCCTGCCGGGGGGGGGGGACTGTCAACCTCCTTTGCAGACGCTTTGACTGGCCAACTCCCTCAGCAGCTGTCGCGATTGTGCAGAGAAGGAGCGAGAGCGGTTGTGGTTGCTGTAAACACCCTGCGGAGAGACTTCGTTGCATACCCATAATTACTTTTATCTGAAGCGAGGGGCAGAAGACTTGGAGGACAGAGGAGGCCAGCCTCCGCTCACGCCGACGCCTGCCCTAAGACCTGCAGGAGTGAGTTTGTTGCTGCTGTTTTCATCGGAGAGTTGAAGACCTGGTGCCAAGTTGGTGCCAAGCTTCTTGGAACAAGGCACTTGATGGACAAGAAGTGTTACATGTGAGCCATCCCCTCCTCCCCAGAGCCTGCCCCCTATCGTATTATCCCCACTTCACAGCTGTGGATCCTGAGGGGTGCACAGTGTGGGGAGTTGGGGTCAAAAAAAGAACTCGCCCCAGGCTTTTTACCCTAGTCCCAGAGTCTCACCATCTGCTTACAGGGCTCAGAGGGGCCTCTCGGCTGGTCCGAGAGAAAGGGCGGTGCCTTCACAGTGCCGAGCTTCATAGGGCTCTGTGTCGCTGATCTCTTGTGGAGGGCGGGACACTCTGGGGACCCCGCCTCAGGAGGAGCAGTCAGTGCCTGCCACCCAGAGGAACAAGGCACTGCTTGCCATTTTGGCTCCAGCATCCAAATGGAAACTGTTTTCTCCTTTGCTTTTTATTAAAAAAATTTTTTTTATCTTCAAAAACTGGTGCCATAGTCTCTCCCTTGCCTCTTGAGAAAGGGAAGTCTCTTCCTGCCCCGCGAGCAGTTGGAGGGTGACTGAATAGGAGCCCAGACACAGAGGGTTGGCCGGAACTTGGCCAGACAGCACGTCGGTCAGACACCCGCCGCCACGGCGGGCGCGCAATGCATGCTGGGTGGGGGAGGGGGTGGTGATATCACCAGGTAACTTGTCCTCTTGCCAACTCATTTGTTAATGAATATTGAAAACACGATTTCCGATGGGCTGAGTCTGGGATTTTTTGAAAGGGCTTGGCCTGGTGAGCACACTGTTCCCGAACCCCGTCCTGACGCACTGCGCTGGGGGGTTCTGGGGCGATGTGCTGTGAGGAGGCCCAGGAAGCGGCCATGGCACCATTTTTTTGACCCTTCGCAGGCCTCTCTGTCCACCACGGGACAAGGAAAGGCCGAGGCAGCATCCGGGCCTCTGCTGAACCCACACAGGTGGGTTCAGGGGCCAGGACAGGCCAAGTGGGCCGAATTTCAGGCCCTCACCACTGTGCTGTGGTGGGTCCTGCAGGCGGGGTTGGATGTCACTCCCTCCTTGCTGCTCACTGCTGGCCGAGGACCCCGGTGGCCTGTGGCAGGCAGCACCGAGCTGACGGGCAGCACGTGCCAGCGTAGGGTGCACGGGCCTCCGACAGCACCGCTGAGTTCTCCGAGTCTACAGGGCGTCCCGGCTGGTTTTGGGAAAGAAACTACAGCTCCCGTGTTTCAGACCTGTGCACTTATGTCACGTCCATGCTGACTTGAGACTTACAAAAAAAGCCATGTGAAGTCACTGCGTGGCCACATTAGCCCAATGGAGTCCGGACTTGCCATGTCCTAGCTGTGTGGATTTGGGCCAGTCTGAGAGGGTCAGAGCTTGATTTCCTCCTTGAAAAGTGGGAATCTGAGAGCCCTGACTCACGAGATTTTTGGAGGATTAAATGAGAAGTTACGGAACGTAGCTGGCACAGGGCCTGGCACAGGGGCCCTGCTCAACATGCGCTAGTTTTGCAAACCCAGCGTTTCTCATTTCTGCTCACTGCGGAACTCCAAGGTCGTTCACTTCTCACTCTTAGGCTTAGGGACCAAGTCCAAATATGGGAGTGGAAATTCTCAAAGTAAAACCCCAAAATATTCAACATCAGGCTTCCTGTCATATCCTATAGCTTTGTCAGTGAGAAACATAGTGTTCGTTTCCTCATTGTTACCAAAGAGCACCGCCGTGTGAGTGCCCACTTAGTGCACACAGGTGGGGCGCCCGTGTCCTCATTGCACAGTAACGATCAGAGCCAGGTCGCGAGCCTTGGTGAGGCTGTTTCCTTTCAGCTCCGGAACTGGGAAGGAGCGTCTGGCTCGCTGACATTTTGGTCCACTGCCAGGTGTGGCCACAAGTCTGTTTCCGGTAACCAGCTGCTCACTTACAGACAAAAACCTTGCTCTGGAGCTGAAAGGCAAAACCATGACCATTAACCCAGGTGCACGGAGAAGAACTTTAATGGAAGTGGACTTCGGCGTGTGAGGAGGCCGAGACTCGTGTTACCACGCGGCTGGGTAGAAACGTGGCTTGTGGCAGAGCTGCTCCCTCAGCCTTGCGACGGCATGAACTGCACCCAAGACCAGCCTGACACTTAGAGAGACGTCAGGCACTGGAATGGTATGGGCCTCCGTGATCTGAAATCCCAAAACTTGAAAACTACAGTAAATTATGAAATAAGTGCAAGGATGCTAACAAGTTTCTGCTTTTCCCCATGACGAGTTGGGTGCTTTCTTGGACCAATTAAAAAATACTAAAATATCTGAATTTTTGCCCTTGATTTTTTTCTCTATCATATAGTACATTTACTGTTAGTATAAAAGTAATGTCACAATGTTAAAGGGAAACATTTAAAATAATGGTGTTTTTTTTTTTTTTTTTTTTTTTGAGACAGAGTCTCACTCTTTTGCTTGGGCTAGAGTGAGTGCCGTGACATCAGCCTAGCTCACAGCAACCTCAAACTCCTGGGTTCAAACAATCCTCCTGCCTCAGCCTCGCAAGTAGCTGGGACCACAGGCATGCGCCACCATGCCCAGCTAATCTTTTCTATGTATGTTTTTAGCTGTCCAAGTAATTTCTTTCTATTTTTAGTAGAGACAGGATCTTGCTCTTGCTCAGGCTGGTCTTGAACTCCTGAGCTCAAACGATCCGCCCACCTTGGCCTCCCAAAAATAATGTATATAATACAATACTAACATAGCTATTTTAATTTTTATATATCATCTTCTGTGCTTTGCCAACTTTGAGACATTGTTTTAATCACAGCATATGTTGGCAGTTTTTTAATCATTTTCCCATGTTATTATATAGTCTTTATGATTATCATTTGTATTCTATAAGTTTGAGGATTTGCCCAATTATGTTCCAGACAGGTTAGACAGTCAGTTTCCAGGCTGGCTGTGGTGGTGGTGGTGGTGATGATTACAGACCATGTTTCTGTGGAGTTCAAAAATTCT